GGGGAGCAGGGGATGGGAGACAAAGGCAGAGTTGGCAGGGAGGCAGCTGCCGAATAGCGCCTTTGGAAACCACGGCCCCACCATGCGGGGAAGCGAGGGCGCCGATACCTGAGGCAGGGGGAAAGGAAGCTGGTGGGCAGGGAATGAGGGAGGGGAGCACGAGTGCGGAGTGCACATGCAGTCAGCAGCGGGAGGGGAGCTGTCCTGCTACGTGGGCTGGGGCGAGGGTGGCAGAGGGCCCAGGAGAGGGCGGAGGAAGGCAGCTCTCACCCCGTCCTGTCAGGGACACTTGCTGCCTGATGGCCCAGATCCCCTAGTGAGCAGCTGTCAGGGGCATCCAGAGTCAGAGATGGCAGAGCCCAAACCAGCTCCCTCCAAGGGTCCCTCTCCTGTCTATCTCGCTGCAGATGTTTCCCATGCACGTGGAATACGTCTTTGATGGGCCCCCAGGCTCGTATGAGTGTGCCCCCCTGTAGAAGCACAAACCTGGCTGTGGGCTCTCTGCGAATCAGCTGGGCAGCACTTGAATCTCTCCTGCATGGACACACAAGTGCCCGGCTTACAGGGAGCACTGAGCACAGCTCTCCATCCCAGTGGCTGTGTGCTCCATAGACCACTAGTGCTCTGAGACCATCTTGCAGGCGGGCCGCAGGCTCAGGGCTCACCTCCCCTGCAGCGGGAACCCTGCACTGGTGCTTCAGCCCTGCCCCCCATCCCCCCCAGAGTGCCAATGCCAGCTTTCCATGGGTGAGCCCAGTGGGAAGGAAGCAGCTCCACATGCTGCAGCACTGTCTCCCCCCCCGCCCCCCCAGGGAACAACAGAGCAGGAAACGGCTCACTTAGAGGCTTTCCCCGCTGCTTCCATTGGCCAGAATCACTGCCAATGGGAGCAGGAGGGGGCGGTACCTGGGACCTGCAGGAGGCACAGAGCTAGGTAAGCACCTGCTATCCTTCGCATGCCCAGACCCCACACCCCCAGCCCACTCCCCAGCCCACTCTTCCCGGCCAGACCCCTCTACGCTACCCACTCCTGCACCTGTTTTCTCATCAGCTGGTTGGCTGGTGGTCCGTGGAGAGGTCTGCCTTGTGCAAGGCGAAGAGAAGGGGGGGGCCAAAAACGTTGAGAACCACTGGTCCAGCCCTGGCACAGCATGCGAGTCAGCCCTGCTGTATATTTACAAGTGTCTGTTCTTTGACACTGGCAGTGATGGAGCATCTACAGCTGGCCCTGGCAACAGGGAAACCCACCGATTCCTTGCTATCACGTTGGAATATTTACTAAAAACAATTGCCTCTTGGTCCCCGTGTCTCTCTTTCAAATGTAATTACCTCCGCTCTGAATTCAGCCTGGAAAGGGAGCAGGCGGATTGCTAGTAGCTCAAGCCAGCCACTGGTTCATGTTTACTAGAGGCCTGGCAGGGCAGGGGGCATTTGATGCCATCTCCCCACACCTTGCCGTGTAAAACACTGGAAAAGGTGGGAGGGCTGAACTGTGTGCAACTGTTTGGATTTGTAGGCCAAGTGTGAAAGCCAAACCACCACACACAGCACGTTCCGGCCCCAGAGAGCAAAGAAGGTGAAGAACTACAAACCGGAGCCGAACCCCATCCAAGCGCAGGGAGAGCAGGATTTCTCCACCGTCCACAGGGAGTCCTACAGGTACAGCTTCTTGCAGTGACTGAACCCAGACAGGCCACGGCGACACTCCGAGTGCTGCAGTGAAACACCAGCTCTGACTGCAGCAGGCAGCCATCCCCGTAACTGGATTCTCAACCCTCTCTCTCTTGCAGGCCAGTCCCGCTCCCTCCTGTCGTTTGCAAATGTACTTGATCCAGCAACAGCAGCAAGGAAGAGAAACAGCGAATTCTCTCGTGCCCATCAAAGCCTGATGTGCGGTGTGGATCCAGGTCCTTCACCACAAAGCCAATAGGCAACTACTAGACAATCTGATGGACTGGTGTTGGTGCATCTTCAGAACATGAAAATGGCATAATCTAAAATCTGAGCGAGCGTGTCTGCACTGCAGAGGTGATTGCCACACACACGAACACCTGCGGTCACGGTCATCTAGCTAGCATGGCTAACAACAACAACGCTGCAGCTGCACAGCACAGGTATACTAGTAGGAATGAAGGGTTCTAGCGGCTCGTATGCCCTCCACGTCTTCGCTGCCTTTTAGCCAAGCTAGCGAGACTAAAGCTGGTGCAAGGAAGTGCTCTCCGATCAGAGCAGAGACAGCTACCCTTGACATAGCTGTTGTGCATGGATGTGGTATTTGTGTAACACACAACCAAACAAATGTAACAGCTGTTGAAATGATACAATAATGGTAACTAAGTTTCATTGTACTTCCTGTTTAAGTATTCTGTAGAAATCTTACATAATATCTTCTAGTATTTTAACACAACCTTTGCGTTGTATTTTAAAGATAATCGACTGCTTGCACTCAGTGTTAGCACTTCAGTGGTCTGATTGGATGGATATGCACTCCTCAGAAAAAGGAAAAGTTGGGAACACAACTTTTCTCTCTATGCGAACAACCCCAACCAGCCACTTTCTAGCAAGGCTGGAGTAACAGAGGAGCTGGAGTAACAAGGCTGACTTATCAGAGAAACTAGCTGTCAAAAACACAAAGTATGTTCACATACATGTATCAAGAGGGGGAAAATCTACAACTTACATTGACTTCAAAATCCTAGAGTTAATGTTTTTTATCCTCATCAACTCAAACATAATGGTCCCTGCAATGAAAGACTAAGATTGTCTCTCCCCCTTGCATATGCTTATGCTAATGTGTATTTGTGTGGGGGCTGGGGTTCACTGGAAACTGAAATCAGTACAGTGACTTGTGTCAGGGCTGTGGGCCCCTCGCCTCTCCCCCAACAGCCGTACCGGTGCCAGCGTAATCCCTGGTCTAGGTTTAACGGTATTTAAGAAACACCACACACAAACCCAGTTAAAAAACAACGTCATTCTGTACAATTATACATCCAGGTTACAGGACTGCTAGAAATTTAACATGTTAAACAAAAAAGGAGCAACACCTTCCGACGGGGAGAAAGCCCCACACGAAGAAGCACATTTCCTAAACAAAACCTTTGTGCCATACTTCCCACCAGAACCCACCCACAGCACAAGAGGCATAGGAGCTTAATTACCATCCTAAGGCAAAGGCCTTCCATGGAAACAACTGGGGCATTTGACACATTCTCTCTGCTAAGTAAATCGAGAACTCCAGCAGCCTTTGAGGTGACAGGGGCCTTAACAAGAGGAAGGAGGCCAAAAACTGCCCCCACCTGCACTGTGGCTCAGAGTCTTTGCAAGTTTTACTGCAGCAGAACAGTCGGCTTTTCTGAACGTTTGATTTCAACCGACAGACAGACAGTAAAGCTGGGACTAACGTCAAGTTAGTTCAGCAGAAACCAGCCCGTTTCTTTTGAGCATCAGATAGCAAAGTCACAATCAGGGTCATTCGTTTAAACCCACCGTTAATGACATCCGGCCATAACCAGCTGCCAGAACTTCTATTCAGGATGAGTTTGTTGTCAAATACAGCGGAAGAGTTTCTCCCCCACACGCCATTCTTCAACAACCCTATTTAAGAAGGGACCAACTAGTGATGCTGCAAAGCATAATAGGAACCATTCATCTACTTCGCCTAGCTCAGAGCTAGGGACAGGAGAGGGTTCTTGCAACGTTCACTGCAAGTCAGTGAATCCACACGCTGCAGGACAGAAGAGCCACACCAAGCTCCTTCACAGTGACACTAGGCAGACCTGTTGGAGCACCGCAGTGACAAGCCACCTAACGGCATTAACGCCGGTGATGCAATCGCTGCCAACAAATACCGGGTCAGCTCCCAACAGCGCAAATCTCGATCTCCAGTTTGCAATCCTGACCCACGAGAGCATCAGTATTCTATGAATGGGTTTCCTTTAACCCTCTCTGCACCCAGAGAAGAACCTGAGATTTGGGACAACTGAAGATCAGCAGATCCCAAAAACACTTCCAAGGGACTGAGAGGTCGGCTGAAAAGAGGGTTACAAACGTATTCATATTTAATCTACTAAAAATATATTAAATGCCAGAAACCGATGTCTCTTCTGCATCTCAGAGCAAGTCCAAGAGAGCAGAACTACTCTTGCAGGTAGCCAGATGCTGCATTTTCCAGCTGCTCACAATAACGCTGCAGAAGTTCTCTGTGGCCAGGGAACCAAGTTTTCCCCTTCTCCACTGACTGGACAGAGCGACTTGTTCTCAGCTTCTCCCAGGAGCATCTTGAACTCCCCTTTAGAGGCAGCCTTGCCACGCCAGTTGTCCAGTGACTATCAGGGAGAACTGTGCTCAAGGAAGGAGGAGTCATTTCTTACAGCTCTTGCAATGGAATTAGGTGCACCGAGGTCTCTCTTCCTCCCCGCTGCAGAACCAGGGTTGGTCTTCCATCTGGTTTTCTCTTTTGTTTACATGTCCTCAACGCTCCACTTATATGCAAGCTCCTGAACTGCCTTCTTGCTGGCTAGCCTAGCAAAGCGCTTCTGTTCAAAGCCATTGGACCTACAAAACAACATCAGCAAAAGTGTGGGTCGAAGGACAATGCACCATGCCAAACCATTTCTGAGCAATGAAACATTCTGGAACAACCAGACGGTTCACACTCCCTTCCATTTCTAGACTACTGGCTCCAGGGGCCACCGGTCTCTTTCCGGTTTCTAACGTCAGATGTCCAGATTGCAAAAGCTACGTATCCCCACGTGGACAAGACTGACCAACTAGGGAGACTGGTCTTGTAGCTCACCAAAGCAAGGGGCCGCAAAAGACCACACGGAGCCGTATTAGCAAGAGGGGAGCAGGCTATGGGAAGTACAGATGGTGAGAAAATGGTAAATATTTTCTGTGGGAAATTAAAACCATTTCATGGACATCTTTGACTTTTTCATCAAACTATTAAAAAAACCTGTTGATGTTCAACAAGAAACAGACAGGCTGGGGGACTCCTCCCACCTCACGGGGAAGGGGGGGAAGGAATGGAGAGGAGGGTGGGAAAGGGGAAGAGAGATGGAGCAGCACATTCACAAATCTGAAAGCCAGGAACCTGTCATTTCAGTGTGACCAACTATGTTTAAAATTACAAGCACAAATGCCATTAAAAAGCCATTTCCACCCCTCTGACGAGAAGCCTGCAGTGTAGGCCGTCCAGGCCGCTTCAGCTGTGCTGGTTTCAGGGCGTTGCTCCAGCACCTCTCCCTGGCATGAAAGTCATACAATAACAAAAAAAGGTTTGGGAAGCTCCTTAAGTCAAGGGAGTGCATGAAAATGCCTGGTACGTATGCCTCCCCCACACCTCTGTCTGGGTTATCCCTCTGCTTTTCAGGGCAGAGGCCCA